ACTTGCATAATTTTGTAGAGTAACGTCCGAACTATCTACGCATGCAAAAAAATTACTAACATTGTATGTTAGTTTTCTGAGAACGGAGCTGGTTTCCCAAAGAGCCTCTGAAAACCCGATCTCTGAAATTTTTTCAAAAGTTGCTACCGCTTGTGAAAAGGTCTACTCAAGTCTTGGCTATTGAACAGCGAAAATCGCAGGTTTCTGTCTTCTTCCTATCAAACGTTATTCAAGTTACAGTGGAGTCTCTTTTATTTTGAAACGGATAGTAGATTCAAATGTGTCACCTCATAACACACCCCCACCTCCCACGAAACACTGCCAAAAATACCCAAATGTGTGCTACGAAAAATTCGTGGAAGAGTCGGGGTCTTGTTCGCGATAATGTCGTTCGCTCAAATGTCGGGGTCGCTCCAATGTCGGTCACTGAAATGTCCGTCGCTCAAGTGTCGGTCGCTCAAATGTCGAGGTCGCTTAAATGTCGGCGCTCAAATGTCGGTCGCTCAAACGTCCGTTGATGTGAAATTACCTAACTTATTTCATCCAGATATAAAGTTTACTTTTGAAAATGAAATAATAATATACTCTCATTTCTTGACGTCCAGGTCATACGCACGAGCACAAAATGTCAAACTACTATCTATAGGAAAAAGACTTTCTCGGGGTTATTAACTAAATGGACTTCTTATGTTCCATTTAGCTATAAAATTGGATGTATGAGTACTATGGTAGTTCGTGCTATACGTATATGTTCGACATATAAACTTTTAACAGACAAACTAGATGAAATTGGACGATTAAGTAAATTAAATGGATATTCACCGACGTTTATTGATACTTTAATTGGAAAACTGATAAATAAACATTTAATCAAAACTGACAATATCAAAAAACGGAAAATAATTTACGCAAAAAACGACTGGTTGTCGATATTCCATATATCCAACAAGCGTCGAAAGTTTTGAGTCTCAAAAACATTCACAGAATCTATTAAATCTGATATCGATTTAAAAGTTATTTTGAGGTCACCTAAATCCGTAGGCAGTTTTTTTCCAAAACAAAGATAAAATACAAAAAATGGTACAATCAAACCTGATCTACGGCATTAATTGCAAAGACTGTGATGATAACTATGTCGTTAAAACAATTTGACAATCAGTAAGACGTCTAGTTGAACATGGTGCTTTTAAAAGTATCGGAGGTTTTGACCAGCTATCAGATGATGTATCTGTCGACAATCCTACGGACATTATTTCCATTTCTAGGTTATCTTCTACTATGTGCTCTTAAACAACAACTCTAAATGCTTCTCAAAGAAAGTCTAAAAATGTTAAAAATCATTTTTCACCTTATAAAGATGAATCTAATTTAAGACGTTCATCTCGACTTGTCAATAAACGGCTCATAACAATAATAAATAAACAAGACGATGATGAGACAGCTGGCGAGATAGAGACGGGATTATCTGACGTAGCAGTTTCTAAGCAAAATTAAAGTCAGCTCTTTTAAAACATATTTCTGATACCCATCATACTATTAATTGGGAAGAGTTTAAAATTTTATTAACGGATTTAAACTATTATCGATTACTAATTAAAGAATCTTTAATAATATTAGGATATCAGCCAAAATTAAACATAGTACGTTCAGTTCCCCTTTTCATATATCCCAATCGAATTTTCAAAAAATTGTTACCCGACGCAGGAGAATAATTCATCGTTTTAACAAAATAACATCTCAAGGCATTTTTGACCTTGTGTACCGACCGCATAGTCTCTTCATTTTTCTCGATTATATAAAACTTGTTTTTCTCTCTCTTACAAAGAATGTCTATTTCTCTCTTTCTCACTCTCGTACTGCAAAAACATGTATTTTACTCCCTGTGTGTAGGTTATTCAGTCATATTCGTTTTAACTTTATATCGTATTAATCGTCTCTATTGTCTTGATAATGAAAATTACAATTTTCGAAACGTTGACTTTATTTTTATAAAAACGTTTATTTTAAAAAACATTTTTAAGTTTAATTTTTATTAAATAAAGATCAATCTAAAAACAGTTGCTGTTATTATCTTATCAATTCTAAAATTTCTACCCCTGAACAGATATAATGCCATTGTTTGATTTACTCAAAGGAATTAACAAATCCTACTAGTAATAGATAGGGTAGCTCCAAAAATTTACACTGACAGAGAACGGCAAAACAATATTTGAACGATAATAATTTAGCAGTTTTGTGACTACATAACAATCACTGAAATTTCTATCCTAATAAATTCCTCGTTACCTCAGCAGCAGCGAACCACAACGGCCACAATACCGACAGCCACAACTATCATTAATCCACTGCTGACTATGAAAAGTTGCGTTGATGATGATGATAATTCGCAGCGATGAAAACAGGAAGAATTCTAAAAACCAAATCGCGAAATGACCTTAATTAAGACGGGTACTAATGGGTATGAAAAATGGCAATTAGCACAGTTAGTTCAAGCTGGCGAACTAATGTACATTTATCAAAAATTCGATAATGTCATCGAAACGACTGTATGAGACTACCATAAACAACAGGATTTTACAGAATTCATCAATTAACGTCTCACATCAATTATGTATTTACTTAAACGACATCAAAGTCTTGATGATTCCACTAAAAGTCTATTTTTCAAATATTCTCAGACCGACCTCTCGTCAACGGCACTAAAATTAAACTTGAGAATGATTCTACATATCCTGTTACTCAAGTCAAATTTCTGACAGTCAAGAATGATCATGTCCTTGTTCAGTAAACGAAATCCTGTGCCATTTCTTGAGCCCTCGATTGGAAACGGGCATCAATTTATCGCGATATTATACATGTTTGGGATTATGCTACGCCAACAATTCTGTTGGGAAATGTTACGGCAAATCAACACTATTAGACACATTATTCATATCATCTTTTGAACAATCTACATAGAGTATTTATTTTCAAGAAACAATTGATATTGATTTTGGTTACAGTTTTATGCTTCGACGAACGACAAATATTGCCAATATTTACGATTCAATAATCAGAGAGTTATTACTCAAAATACACAAACTGTTCGATGGGTTATCGTTCATATTTAATACACCTATTTCCAGCAAAATTTTGAGAGCCTAACGATCTTTTTGGACGTAGTTTCACAATCTAAATTTTGTCTGCTTCTCGTTTGTGACGTTCCCACAAAGCTCATAAACCAATGTTCAACGCTATCATCCTCAAAATTTTCCTTATCAGTTCAAATGTTTGTCCTGTCAAACGTTGCCGATCGAAACAAGACACATAATAAACACGCTATATTAAAGCTACGTAATACCATCTTTGAAACAGATCCAACGAAATGTTCACACGAAAAGAAATACAGCCAAATTCAATTGAAAAACTCATTTCACCTGAAATATAAAAAGCATATGCACGACACATACAGCACCCTGATGCCATTGAAAGAGATACTAATTGATGCTAGAGATGGATCGTAATGAAGTCGAATAGAACGAATACGCTTAATGTGAAGTGCATGAAGCGACTGAAGGATGAATTTTCTCACTTTCGTTATTTTCATTTCATTATGATGTCTCATTACGAATAGTCGAATATTCATATAACTTCCGTTCATTCTCATTTGGAAAAGACAAACTATATTATCACGGACTTATAGACGAAAGTAGTTCGACTAAACGTAATAATGTGCTCCTTACGTAAGAAACGTAAGAAGTTCCCTACTCATTGGCTCTTACGTTTCTTCGTTCAACATATATAAGAGAAAACTACTGTTACGTTCATTCCATATTACGTTTGTTACGTACGTTTAAGCTCTTTTCTCTTTCTTTCAAGACGTGTATTCGTATACTCATTATTCGAATATTCTTTACTCGTGTATAAATGAAACATAGTTTTCTATAGTGAATAACGAATAATCGTTCGTTCCTGTCTTTTGAGGCTTACGTATTACGTTCATCTCTAATTGATGCCGTTTAAAATGAAAGAGCAGTTTCATTACCTTTTCCACAGTACGTAATCTACGCGGAACTCTACGATCTGAGATTAAGATTGGCAAGTTTTAAATTTTTATGGCATGAAAATGATGCAATAGCGTTTGAGATACGTCGAAAAATCTCTGAACTGGAAAACGCGATCAATGCTGAAGAACAAATAAAGACAATGAAACTGAATTTGTCTTATACCAGAACTTGGTCGGTAGGGGTTCTTAATAGTAAAAACTAATGATCTTTATAAGCATCTATTTGGAATTGGTGCGTTCCTAACCAATAGTGTTGGACGAAGATATTGGCAATAATAACTAATCAGAGAATCAATGATGCTCTAAATGCTTCAAATAAATTATGACACTTTAATTTAGTGGTTGCTAAACGACACATGTCGACGAACATAAACGTAAAATATATGCAATTGAAAAGTTCATGTATTATACTATACAATAAAAAAACTTGGTATTAATTTTTTCAGTTAAAAAAGTACGTGAAGTAAAGTATTATTGATCAATCAGTTGTTATTCATTCAATTTGACATTCTAGATAAAACGCTAATAAACACTAGAATAATGATACTAAATAAATTCATTTTAATTACGGATGATGTTGATTTTTTTGTGCAATCAACATTAGCATTAGCACAATCATCAAATTTCACCGCAAATCTATTTTGTTCTTCTAGCCCTTTAACGCCAATATAAACAAATTCTGTATTATTTGACGGTTTATCCACTATTAATGTCACTTCATCTTCATCCGTGCGCCCTATACGCTGTTTGGGCTCAAATCCGCGTTCACCAATATCATTAGAATAATGTCTTGCCCATATCAAACTAGTGAGTGTTGTTAATGTTTTCGGTTTATCATCCGAATATTCAAACTCAGTTGGATCTTTTGGATGTCGACCATTAAATGAATGAAATAGTTTAACTTTTCCATTAAAATTTTTCACGGTTATCAATGTTTTATTACCAATGACTTTAATAATAATTTTAAAAAATTTATATTTGTCTTTCGCACATTCTCCAGTAACCGTTGAATTTTCGCCCACATTAATCGGTTCAGCACATGATTTTGACACAAACTGACTCAATCTTTGTTCCAAACTCGAATAATTGGCGATAGGCAGATAATTCTCCCTCCACGGTTGAGTACAAATAGCATGTAGTTCATTAAGATTGACACCATTACCTACTCCCACAGTGAATATGTGAATATCTCGTTGTTTCAATACCGCGGCTACTGGTATTGGCGGTACAGCACCATTACTCTGTCCATCTGTGATAAGGAATATAACTTTTGGTGCGCCATCCTCAGTTGGTCGAGGTCCATTATTATTTGAAAATACACGATTTGCTTCTTGAAGTGCTTCACCTGTATGTGTAGCTTCTCCAAAGTATGTAGCATTATTAACTCTATTTAATTTTTCATTTATTGTATAATATTGGTTTAACAATGACAGAGTCTCTATTTTAGCTGAGTAATTAATAATGGCAACATGCGTCTTATTTGGTCCGACATTGACAAGCTGAAGTATGTCTTTAGTAAAATTGCGCTGACGTTCATAATCTGTTGGACCGATACTACCCGACGCATCCAAAATAAAACCAAGATCCAATTTAATTTCTGATGTACATTGACCAAGACAACATCGGACATGTGGTGGACTATGCGGACATCTTTCACCTTTTCCGTCGCACCCACAATACTCAGCATCTTCTAGTTCTGGAATGCAGTCCGCAAAACAATGACCTGTATGGGTACTATTGTACTCACAGCTTGGCCCTTGTCCAGTGTGTAATGTGGTACATTCTAGCTGACGAAGAACTTCTGCATATCGTTTCACCGCATCTGCAAGTTCATCAATACTACCAGTTAACAAATACCTTCAATCATAAAAGAAGTCTCTGCGTTTCACTATAACAAATATTACTCTGATATAAACTTACCATAGCATTGAAAATCCATACATCGTACCATCAGCCAGCTTTGTCATATTATCCATTGTCCATTTCATAGTGGCGATCTTTATGGCTTTATCGGGAAAAGCTGCTTTCTCTGGACTTTCCATGATTTCTGAATCTGATAATGATTCGTACATTTTTTGTCCTCTAATACCAAAGTAACCACGTCGCCGCAATCGTCCGCCATCACCTGGTTGTGTATTACCGTATTTGTTGTCATCAGCTGAAAACTGTGCATCTGTACCCATGGCTTCGTCTGTGGTAAACTCGTTGGTCATGCTAGCCGCTATGGCCAAAAATGCTGCTTTTGCAACACAATTTTGACAAACATTAATATCATTCAATGCTTTATTTAAATATCGACGAATGTATTGTGTTCGAACAGTATCACTGTACAAGTTATTGAAATTTGCGTCCGAAATACACACTGGTAATGACGTTGCTAATGGTGCTCGTTGAACACAACAAGAATTTTCATCAGAACAACCAACAGATAATAAGGCACCTTCACACTGACTTTTAAGAGAACAATTCCCCTTTATCGTCTTGTCATATTTGGCTTCACAAGCTGTTTGACCAAGTGCAGGACTTAGACAGGTGAGTAAAGCCAGCAGTAATAAAGGAGACTTCATCGCGATAGATATCGTTCAAAACTAAAACTGGAATTAACGTTTCTCCACACTCAATACTTATTTATAAATAAGTTTGTAGGAGGCTGAAGAAAAGGTATGTAAATATTCCTTTTCTTCAGCAGCCTACGAACGTTATCAATATTTGCCAAGAGTTTATGCTATGTTTGGTTATGTAGATTCAATGTCAAATTTATCTGCGTATGAGACACCAGAGATATCGAAGTAGGCAGAAATATAGGAATGAAACACAATCATATCTTTATTTATTGAAATAGTAAAAGAAATTACAATGAGATTATTATGAGAGATTAATCACAGCAGAATAAACCACATTCACTAGTATTGAGGTAAATACTACCCACCGACAATTTTCTTCACGTCCAAGAACTCTTAATAAATTTAGCTGGTGGGGATATACGGACGATTACTTCCATAGTCCACCCACCTAAGGATGTCATAGTACAGAAACACTATGTATCGTCGGTTATTGGGGAGACAGATTACAATAAGATTATTATGAAAGATTAATCACAGCAGAACAAATCACATTCACTATTATCTGTAAAACAAAATAGTGGCCGCGATTAGTTTTTAAATAACTTTTGGATGGAAATAGATAGAACCATGGAGTTTCCAGTATTTGGACGCCTGACTGTCCAAAATCTACATAGTAAAGTACTGTTCGCAACACATGTGGATATACAACAGATGTCATTCTACCACACGGCACAAGCCCCAAGTCTTCGTCTACTGTAACTTGGGCGCTACAGGCAATCTCCGGGAGCCTGCCTATCGGCTAAAACTGAACGCCGGGAACCTCAAAAGCACATGGTACATAGGTTTTCGGGCAGACTGAATCTCGTGGCAATGTTTGTTTGTTTGTCCAAATTGCAAAAATTTTAAAAGATGAGTTTTTCGGAAAATTTGATTTTTCCACTATGACTATACTAAAATAAAAAGCTTCTAGTATCTTCATTTTTAGTATCTCTATGAAGTGCATATCTCCGTATAGCGGACACTTTAAGAAAGTCTCGAGGTTGTCAATAGAGAAGTTTTACTGTAAAAAATTACATCGTTATTCAATGTAATTCTGATTCGTTAATCTCATATCCCATCATCCTCATCCACCACTATTACCTGTTGTGGCTCGACGCGTTTATCTCTTTATTATCACTATTGTGGAAAGAAACGAAACACTGAATTTCAAACAGATGAATTGTTTGAAATCAAGGCATTGTATTCGTTTACATGATAATGTATAATCGTCAATTTCAATCAATTTTCTAAAAACAATTCTTAGTAAAGGTCGTCAAATGTGTCTTTTTCAAAATAGCTTTTATTCACCATAGTGAAAAGCCGTTAATGTTATTCATATGAAATGAATAAAACAGGTATAATTAATCAATTGTTTCAAAATGATAAATTAGTGAATTATTTAAGTTAGTTAAAACAACTGTTGAACAAGGATATGGATTAGATACAACTGGTAAACTAAATTTAGAATCTGGTTATAAAGTTTATGCTAAATTAAATGCTATTCAAACCAGAATGAATAAATTAGCTGAGAGAATTAAAAAGCATAAGAAATACATTGTACTTTAAAATTAAAAAGAGAATTAGAAGCTAAACTAGATCAATTTGATATTGATTTAGAAAAATTTAAAACATTATTCAGTCAACAACTATCTACAGTAATTAGAAATGAATATGATATTGCACCAAAATTATCTTAATGTGATAATGATATATTAAAATGTAAAATAGATTTAACTAAGCGAATGAATCGAATCATTTAGAACAATATAGAACAAATTTACGTACGCATTTTTGGTATTGATGACGCTGAATATAAAAATACGAATGAAATAATTCTACAGTTAGCTGAAAGTTAAGATATACCAATATATGAAGAAAATATTTCACGAAATGGTAAATATAATGCTAAATCATCAATCTCTTGTCCAATAATTATACGATTTACTTCCTACCGTGCACGAGAATTGTTACATGAAAATCGTGAATATTTAAATGATACAGAATACGTGAAGATTTAACTAAAGAAAATTTAAATCTGTTTAAATGATATATTCAGCTTTGTCCTACAATCAAATTCTATACAAAAAATGGAAATATCTACTATTATTTGAATGATCGACAAGCTTTTATTCGTTAAGATAATGATATAGCACTAATAACATTACAGGGTAAGACCAAGGAATAGTTATCTAGTTAATAGTGTTGTAAATACGATTTTATCTATGAGTGAATTTTTTATAGATGTCTTTATCCACATTTGTACACATTTTATCAATCTTACTTCATTGTTCGGTATGTTAACATTACTACTCTTCTAGGCGATAACTTAACGTATACCAATGACAAATTTATTCGTCCTGTTGAACAACTAGTTGGTGAAGATATTGCTGAATTATTTAACTCGATACTCGATACTAATCGAAACTTGATACTATTAGATACTTGATACTACTAGATACTCAATACTACTCGATACTTGATACTACTGGATACTCGATACTACTCGATACTTGATACCACTTTGTTTATAAGTTTTGTACACATATACATAGATCAATAATTAAAAAATTACATTTTCTTTTCTTTGTTTTGATGTATAATATGACTGTTTATTATTAAGATAGAGATTTACTCTATTTTCTAATATATTAAGTCAACATTCACGATTTGTTTTGAGTAATGCTGTTAGTTTTTTGAAACACGAAATCTTTTTATACTTATGGTATTTGGTACAAAAAAGAAAAACGAAAATAAATAAGTGTTTTCATTTTCGTTCATGATTGAAATTGTTTAAATATGAAATAGTCTATAGTTACGGTAGTAATAGACTGCAGTGAAAACGACTCCATACATCGGTTCAGTGTAGGAGTATCCCAGGCAAACATCACCTATGGGAGAAATCTAGATACATTTCGTCTGTAATTGATATTCGACTAGTTGTCATCTAGATTACTAGTTTGAAAAGGGACTTTTAACTAGATGAGTCTGTATGTGCAACTAGCAATAGTTAAATCGAGCGATAGGTCGATGGTTGCAATTAGATGGAATATAGCAATCGCCCGATTACTAAATTTTCACTGTCATCACTCAATAGTTGCAATCGAGTAAAAATCTAGCAATCTAGATGGATCGGGCGATACTGAATTGTTTTTTGACGCTTGGGATGATCGATTATCATCTTGCTTCTTTCGTTCTACTACCTAAATCACACTACGTGACATTTAAACATTTGTTAGCGGTAAAGTTGCGTTTCACCAATTTAACTTTTGCCAACAAATATTCGCCATACTGGTGATTGGCGAATGTCTATTGGCGAACGTTGGCGAAAGTTGAATTGGCGAACTGCGAGAAATCCTACTTAATGAATGCATCTGAACGATGCATGAAGAACGAACCCTTCTAAACTAGGAATGCGTTCTTGCTAAACGCACAAATGCGTTGTTTTTGAACTGCTCAAACGTGTTCTCCCGGTCATGAAACTCGATCGCGTCTTTATCAACTTTTTTCATGGGTTATCTTTAGATAAAACTCTTAAATCTAACTGATAACTGGCGTTCCATTTTGAATTGTTCAAATTGTGAATTGATGAGCTTCTCCATTCAGATTTTGCTCAACGTTTCTCTCCGTATAAAGTGGACGGTCTGTTGTGCGTATTAAAATTTGTTGATCGGAAGTATCTTTTGTTGATAATCAAAAAAATCGATATCCTAAAAAATACGATCTGATCCTTATTCTCTTTCAATGTGCTCACTGATGTGTGCTATTTTGAGAAGTTGAAATATTTATAGATCATCTACTTTTAAAGTGTTCAGTGCACGCCGAAGAGATGCATTCAGTAACGGTGTGAGTTCAGAAATAAATGGACATTCTCTTTTCTAGTTATTGAAGATGAACTATTACAACATTTTCGTTTTACAGATCTTGGTTAGCCTTTGCATGTTCGAGCAAATAAGTAAAAAATCAATAACTATGTCGCTTCTTTAGAGTCTCTGGTAAAATCCGAATATTTGAATACCTTACATATAAAATTGAACTTTGGTGATCAGTGGTGCATTTTTTATTTGATGTGAGAACGAAATAGGATATCTAGTTTAAGTGAGCTTTGAGAGGAAATAAGTATGTGTAAAAGTAACGTTTACGTAGTATGATTGAAAAATTTGGAAAATACGAAATTTTGTTAAACTTATTTTCCTGTCACCGAATGTTTCGGATCCCTTCGTTAATCATCTGTTTAAAAACTGTCGTATCGGTCATATCATAGCCAGGATAACGGGAATTTCGAACCTGTTGTGTTGTGTTTTCTCCGATCAGTCGCATCTTCAGTCGCATTTGCGAATACTTTCCTTGTCTGTACTGAAAAATAATGAGTACTGCTTTCTTTACATTAATCGATTGCTGACTAGTATTGCAATAATCAGACACTTTGTCTAAATTAGTTGTCCGTTTCGTTTCTGCCATAAAACCATTTGTTTTCTTATTGGAAAAGCTGGAGGCACAAAAGTTAATTAGAGATCATCCGCGTATAAATGGTAATCTATGGAGTTAAATAATTTTGTTCCATTGGCAGCATGGCAGTGTGGAGACATATCCTGATCGAGATATACGCCCAATCAGGATATATATCCCGATTGAGATATCAAAAATTTTTAATTTGTAAGAAAATGATAAATTTTAATTGTATGAGAGCTGAATATTTTGCTTCTTCTTCTTCAGAATTTGATGTAGTTTTTCGAGCTCTTTCTAATGGTGATGTCAATTTTACCCCAAAACGTAGTCATTTTTCCTTTAATCATTTTTACGACGAAATTTTGTGTTTTATATCCTGATCGGGATATGAATTAGACTAAAATTTGTTAAAGGTTTTTGTCCGAAAAAAATGGTTGCTTGATGCACTTTTGATCAAACACAACAGAATCCGATGTAGTTTTTCGAGCTCTTTCTAATGATGACGTCAGTTTTCCTCCAGAACGTCGCCATTTTTCCCTTAATCGTTTTTACGACGAAATTTTGTGTTTTATATCCCCATCGGGATATATATCCCGATCAGAATATAGGAGGTCTCCCCTTACTGCATGTTGTTCGTCTGAATACAGTGCAACAGTCTGTTGTAGAATAACTTTTCGAATAAAATTTTCCAAATTTGGCAATAAAGAAAGCGGACGAAGATTATCTCATGCAGAATGAGAATCGTTCTTCGACAAAATCATTTTAGCTATTTTTGAAAGCTTGGGAAACTGTTCCTTTTCTAGTAATTTATTATACACAACTGAGATAAGTCCCCAGTATTCGGTAGGTAGCTTTTTAGCATCGAATTTAAGAGACCATAGACATCAAAGGATTCTTTATCTTTTAACGGCGTAGCTTTTCGGGTTTCTTCATGTACTCCAGTTGGTGGCAAACTTAGTTTGATAGAGCCAGTAGTATACTGGTTGGTCGTACAGCTTATTAACGCGTCCTATATGCTGTTAGCTTACGAATAACTTCACTTTCGGGAACACTCTCGCTATTTTCATTAGTTATGCCTTGAGCTATTGACTGAGCACTGTATTGTAATTTCGAAGACAACTTCTAGAAACGCTTAGGATTGGGACCATAAGGTTCCATAGGATGAAAGGGCTAAGCTATGGAAAACTTAAAGTTCAATAACTCGAGAATGGAATGAGTTGTAAAGGTGGAACTTTGTATGAATGTAACAGATATATAGAAGAATCATAGAAAGAAATTTGAGCTCTTAACTACTTTTATGGACGAAGATGTGAATTTTTCTATTTTTCATGCCTATAGCTTTTTGAAGGAAAAGCCATCGGCCTTAATCCTTTTTAGCTTTTTACTACCTCGATATCCTCTATCGACTGACGTTTGTACGAACGAAATCGGAGATATAAGTAAACTTACATCTTCATAGGTTTCCTCGTAAGTGGTGAAGCTTTATTTTAGTAATATCCAGATTCCCTAAGTTAGATTAGGAATTAAGCCTTTTGACAATGTAGTATATCTTGAAGTATCCTGAAGTAATCTTTTTAGTAGGCGCCAATTTATAATAAATTGGCGCCTACTAAAAAATAGTTGTATTATTATTTTATGAGGCGTGCGTAATTCAAAGTTCATACGCTATTTTATATTCAAGTGAATCAACATTATTCGAAAGAGGAGGATGAGCTGAACACGAATAATTTGGTTTCAGCCTTCTCCAGACCAACTTTTCCCTTCAAATACTTGAAAATACTGTGGGATCTTGAAAAACCAAAAAAACGGCCTTTCCCCGCAAAATACCTACATCTTTTCTACGTTTCAGTGAGAAGCTCTAAAACATTTTTTCTGATTCGGCATCAAAAATGGAATTAAAAATGTATTTTATGAACTCGTAGCCCAGAATTTGGCCCGACAGAAGCCTCATGTTAGGGAGGGTTCAAAACCGGAATCTAATTTCAAAAAGCTAGCCGTTCATACAAGAAATAAACACATTTTCCGGCAAAGTGTTGATGGTTTCATGGAATCTTTTCTTTTAGAACGATTCTTCACTTTAGAGACTGTGGGGCCGAATCTCCTTTATTTTCAGTTTACTATCATCAGATAGAGTATTATATTACAATAGAAGCGTCTTTGTCTGATTCTGATTTTCTTGAAAATTCCTACTAAACTACTTATATCTAACTAAAAAAATTGAAAAACAATTTGTTCATTCAACAAAAACGTTTTTTACATATAGTTTTGAATTAAATATTTTTTTAAGAATTAATAATAATAACATTTATCATTACTTGATTTTCGTTAAGATGAAGTCATGTCATTGACGATTAAAATCCCCAGTCATTAAGATATTGTTGTTCAATAGCTGTTGGTGTATGTGATAGAGATGAGCGTCGAATTTCTTGACCTGATGGATACCCAACATTACCATTACCTGTTGCATTTTGATCACTCATTAAATGACGACGATGAGCATCAGCGTCATGTAATGCATGATGAATTATATCAGGATAACGAGTAGTAGACATATTCTAATTTTGTTAGTTGAGAATGTGCACGAATTGTGTGATATAAGGAGTTTACTTCAGAGTTCTGGTTTATAAATATGTTTGTGTAAAACGAAGGAAATAAATGAATATATATCTATTGAGCGTGAGAATAACATTTTTCTCTCTCTCAAGAACAAGGAAAGAATAAAAACATACCTATTCCGTTTTCTTTTCTTTTTTTAGAACAATTTCGTCGTTCCTTTATTGCATGTGATAAAAAGAAATATAATTTCATCGTTATGAAGAGAAAGAACATGTTAAATTAACCTCGTGAAATGTGGTACTCAAGCCAAATTCAAAACTACGTATTACTCTGCTGTTCTCTAGAGATTTTTTGTATCTTCTGGCCTACCATTAAAAATGTGCAGGACTAATCTAGAGTCTGACAATGATCTTCACCGTGACTAAAACTCAGTCCAAAGAAAACTTTTTTAATGAGATCGCCACTTTTTACTAATCGAAAATTGCTGAAAAAATACCCTAACCAAAATTAGTGTGGCATAGAAAATCTCGGTGTTACACTTTCTATCTACCGTACCATAAGCCTCATGAAAACCAGGTGAAAACATCCGTTTTTTTCTAGAAAAAGACAAAAAAGAATTAAATGTTTTATGTGGTATGTGTTATAAAGAATGATAAAAAGAATAATAACGTATGGGAAATAAGCTGATATGACTTTGTCTACGCTGTGTTCTGTTTGTGTAGATCACGTTTTTAGAAATGACGCAGAAAAATAAAGAATATTTCGCCATCACATAAAGAAAAAAGAAAAAATATAAACCGTAGAATACGACAAACATTATATTACGAAATTTTTATTGTACCTAGACGAGACCTTTATAACGTCTTCGGACAGAGACAAGAAAAAATGATGGCTTCTTATAGGTTACGATTCATTCTAGGAAGTTGAATTTGGACCATTATTTGATTCACAGTCTGTTTTATGTTCCCAGCCCGATTTTGGATATTTGGTCTAGATTTGCGGCTAGAGAAACATCTTTGTGCAAGTTAATGAGAGTTTCTAGAATTTTGAACATTTAACGCTTACCATTATTTTGAAAAGTAAAATATCAAAAATCGGACTCTGTTAGTCTCTCTACCTACATGTGTTTTCGTCATTTTAAGGCTCTTCTAAAACTCTCCACCACGCTTCATTTACCGAGAAATCTTGCAGCTACAAATAGCTTCATTTTGACCACTATGCGATATCTCCGAAAAGGTAATCGATAACTTCTCGAAAATTTTACGGAAAGAGTACAATCATAAGCTGAAAATTCCTTAGAAGTTTGGTCTAAATTGGACTTTTAGCTACCGAAATCCGTTTCAGACGGGAGAGCCTTAACCGAGATAACCTTGAATTTCTCTTCAAGACTCGATAAATTATCTGAGTAAAGTCGAATTTTACGCTCCATCTACAGCAAAAAGGCTAATCGGTAATATATTGTATATACCTGTAAAATCCAGTCGATAAAATCTATCGATACAAGCTTTATTCTGTTAGAATACAAGCGGAAACATATTTCATTACGGTATTCTAAACTAAAACTATCAAAAAACACAAAATTAATGTTATACGAATAGAGATTCGAACACATGGACTTAGCGTTGCACTTAACTGCAAAACAATGCGACTTCAGCTATGTGTCTATCGAGAAAAAGTGTCTTGTATGTGACTAGATTGCGTCTTCAAAATAGTAGGTGTCTTGCATATGTCTTCAATGTGTGTCTACTGGTAGGCATATAGAAGTCACACTGGAGTCGCATAGAGGACGTGTGAACGAGAAAGATGCTTAGTAGTCATATCATCGCGCCTTCCATGTGTCTCTAAGTTTTTAATCGAAGTTTCACACGAAATGTCAACGTAAGAGGCTAATAAGACTAAAAACTAAAGTGTCTCTGTGGTTCAGTGGTGAACACATTCGTCTCGTAATCGAATAGACCAAGTTCAATTCTTGAGAGGAACAAAAACATTTTAAATGCGTCTTTTCCAGAAGACACATCAAAGCGATCTCAGAATAGGCGCTAAAATACAACTAAATGGGGCCCGACTTACGTATCTTTAATACGACTAGAGCAAAGACGCTATATAGTGGCTACCAGGTAAAGTCGCATCATGTGTCTTTAAAGGAGACACTAAAATGCGACTTTTTTGGATCCGATTTATGTATCTTTCTAAAAGTCGCATTTTCTTTTAGAGTGCAGATTCATTGTTCTGTGTCTATGTTCTATGCGACGATCGAAGTTGTTTATCAACATTTATAATAGCAGCATTTTTGTATTTATTTTGATCAAGACGAAATAAAATGTAAACGCAAAAAATCTATTAAACATTAATCGATTGTGAAACTTTAAAATGTCTGGAGTCAATAGGGATAGATATATGTAATTTTTCATCCGACTATCATATTTGAATTGATAAAAAAGTTTGCGTTCAGATGGACAGCTTGGATAATCTTGGAAATTCACTTTTCGTCTTTATATCCCTTAGAAAATACTTTTCTCTCATGGAAACAAAATGCACATACCAAGACGTTTTTCTGAAACTGAATATAAGAGAAGAACAAATACCATTTTCATCGAATATCCTTTTTATCCCTTCACTGATATCTACTATTCCGTAACAAATATTGATTCAGCAGCATGTTTTCACACGCCCTCCAACAGAATACGATTTTTTTATGACGAAAAAGGATAAGAACCTAAGAGAAATGATATTTGTGAATAGGTAAGCGTAAATAGAAGGAAAACAAAAAGTTTATATGGTAGCGGCATGAAACTGAAACACTATAAATTTAATGAACGCACATTGATTTCAATCCCGAAGTTATCAATTTAAAGAAAACCTATGAGAAAAATGTGCAAGTAGCATGTCCAGGTAACATTGTCAATGATTCATTATTAAAAAAATCCAAAAGATATTATCCAGTAGCAAGAAAAAAGACGTAAGTGTTGTTCACCAAGAAGCCGAATTATTCTCGAATGTATATCGATCAACAATTAAGGACTGAACCGCCGAGTCCGTCGCGATCGTTGATGATTTTAACGAAGAATTAATTAATGTTACGAACGTTATAATTAATAAATTTCGTGATCTACGCTAATTATCCGTATATCAGATATGTGCCGTATGTAATCAGATGTTTTTGAATCTCGCTGAACATTGGCATTCGGTTGCACAACCATATGTAGCCCTATTCGAGAATGCATTCATATCCAGTCTCGACGTTTTATTGAGAAAGAGAGTTAAGAATAAAATTTGGCATTGAAAACCGACGATATCATACAGCTCTCTACTATACAGTGATGAATGGAAGAATTTGTTCAATTATATAGATCAAATAATAGAACCAATGCAAATACTCTCGAAACCTTCGTCCGATAATATCTATTTCGCTATGACAAGTGACGGATATAAATTGATTGAAACATTAGTAAATAATTTGTATCGCGCAAATATCACTTTTTATTCACCGGATAATAACGTTGTTCAGCAGGTCAAACAAATATCATCAACAAACATGCAGTAACGTCTGGAAAAAGAGTCGACAAGGAAAATCAAGTACTGCTAATAAGTACAAAGGTAAAAATGTTTGATTTTAAATATATATCAGCGACAGAAGAAGAACTTTTAAAAGCATATTTTGACACGAATGAATTGACGTCTAACCTAGCAAAATATTATATGCAGAACTATTGTAATATTTGCTTGAGAAAATTTAACCCATTATTACCACGTTTTCAGTGCAGTATGTGTCACACAGTGCAATGCGAAAGTTGTTAGACTCATCAACCAGTTTTACATCTCGGCTACCCGAATCCGGTTAGAATTTGTTATAAATGCGTTAGTAAACGACTTGAAACTGATATCGATATTCTAATTGATTATGTTATAAAAATGAATCATTTTAATCGAAATACAAATATTGACGTTTGTTTAGCATTAATTCGTAGCTATGGCCGTATGAAAGATATCGATTTTTTTCGAATGATCGGAGATCACTATTACACATTGAAAAATTTTCGTCTGACAATTCAAGCTTACCCGTATGCGAATTTAAGTTGAATGACTCATATTAGCGTCAGATGGATGTTTGCATCAGCACCATTCGTTCACATTAACGTGTATTAGCAGATTAACAAAATTTTATGAGAAATCGAAGGAATTCTGGATAAAAAAGGGCGATGAGATACACCCAACATATCCAATTCTAGCTCTACTGTGCTACGAAGAAGTTGAACTTAACAGCAAGCAGATTCTCGAAAAATGTATCGAATACGATAAATCAAAAGCTACGATCTATGTCTCACCTATTTGTTGTATCTGAATAAAACTGTTAATATTAACTGGAAAATTTTATTATTTCAGTCTGACATTAGTGATCAGCTGGTTCCTTATTGTTTTTATCAAGCACAGTTTTTCATTAAAGAATCTATAGAGACGTCAACTGTCCTATGTCAAAAGCATGCATACAGCCGCACAGCATTAATTCTCAATGTACTTCATTCGACAACTATCTGTAATCTATATGAACATGAGATTAAAAGCCATGTTCTCTATTATTTTCTTAAAATATTAAAAAATGAAAACTTTGACGACTGGCTTAATCACATTGTATTGTTGATAGAGCAAAACAATGTCAGGGAGATGGTTTGATGTTTAGCGATGATTCAAGTCTGTTTTGAAATTGATTCTTGGTCCAGGTTAAAACAATTTTACGCAAAAAGAGAAAGAGAAAGCAACAATCTGTGCCAAAATGGAACAATTATTCAGTAGTAATATAGACAATGGCTACAAAGATACAGACGCGAAATCATCAGGCGATAAATATTTTGACGAGAAGCAATATCGCTTGTCATTGAGCTGTTATTTACAACACGACGGTGACTATGATATGTTCGGGTTAGAATTTTCCTTACAAGCCTATTTTTAGAAACGAGCGAGGTTTGGACCCATCAAGTCAACATCTCACTAGATGGTC